GCGGAAATAGCCGGTATAACTGCGGTTATGAACTTTGCGTTTGTCCGGTTACCGTTTGATGCTACAGCCGATGAAACCGTGTGTTTTATTTCCTGTTCATTTCTCGATCGATAAATAATAAAGAACGATTTATTTTAATATATAATTTCATTTTAATGTATAGTCAACACACGCGCAATATTGATATACGATTTAATATACTTTATTTAAAAAAAGTATAAAAGCTACGTAGAATATAATAAGACATAAATAAAATTTTATAACATGTTTGTATAAAACTGCTAAACAAATTATGCAATAAACATTAATATAAGGAGGATATGTATTCTATGTTACTTTATGTTTATTGATATTTCTAAATTTTTCCGTATTTTTTTTTCAACGTGTATGCGTTTCATGCATTACGCAAAAACATAAATATCCCTAACGAAATTGTGCAAAAAATATCAATTATCGTAATTTTTATTGACTCACACGTCGACGGGTATAAATGTCCATTTGTTGCCCATAAAAACATTACAGTAATCTCTTAGCCGTTACAAGAAAAGTATGTGACTGTATTTACATTAGTTCAATTACAATGATTACACTTAGGAATACGTGCTATTTACCTATATTACATATGTATATAGTCGCACCGATACAATCGCAAATTATCAAAAGGTCAAACACCACAATGGCAGTGGTCGTTGCAATTATTTCAGAGACGGTTCGAAGCGCGCGATTGACAAACGTGGGTATATATTTTTCGTAAACGTTAAATCGAGGCTATATTAGAAATAAGGCAGTACATAAATCGTAATCAACTTATATGAGCTTTCCCTACGGCGTAGTTGCCCTTTTTAATACAATTAACGAACCTGAATTCCATGACCCTTTTTCGAGGATTATTGAACGCATTCGTGGCATGAGAGGTAAGCTTCATTACGATTTCGCGAAATAACGAAGCACTCGTTTTGCTTTCCTCAGAATTTTTCGCTACAATTTAACGAAGCGAGGATTAGTACGATCGAAACAGTAAGAACATCGGTTTTGTCTGATCAGTTTAGTCTACTCGGACGTGTTTAGCTCTTATTTATATTGGGTGTACAAGCGCGTGTACTGTACATACACGAGCCATATAAAATACAGATAAATATAATCGTACAGCGTAATTGCGGTGGCCCGGGCTTCGCGAATTTTTTCGTTATTAATTACGTTACTTTGATCCTTTGAATAACATCGTACATCGAGTTTAAATTGAAGAGCTCCAAACCGCTTTAAATCCACATTAAACAACGTGGAGTACGCATTAAAAAGCTATCGATCATATATTTTTTACGATCACCTTCTCAAATTCACTGAATAAGTGTCAAATTTGTCTGCACGTTTTTGGCACCATAAGTGATTTAGCTCGGTTATCACGACACGATCGTACGCGGTTACATATTTACAAGATTCGGATACTGCCGATCGGCTAATAAACTCCGTTTTATAGTCTACACGGAAAGAACATTATATTACATCATCTTTGTTCACCGTAACGGTGTTGGTCAAGCGATTAAACTATCCCTTAGTTCCTTTTTCTTTTTTTTTTTACAAGTATACATATACAGTATTTACACGAATTTGAAAGAAGGAATGTAACGTTGTAATCGTCCGTAAGACATAATAGACGGATCGAATAGTAAGATTTAAATTATCAGTTATCTCGTGTGTTAAGTTGCTGGGTCATTGTCGACTTACTTTATGGAGGCAATTACGAATACTTATCAATAACATTTAAGTTTTACTTCGTGCATTGCCATTGATATTGTAAGAAGTACCTTAGATATTATTAATAAATTGTCAAGAGCTTTCTTGTTTTTAATGTGATACACGTAAAGATTGTGAATTTGTATAAAAATGAATTTATCGCAAGTAATTATATAGGATATGAAAAAAAAAGTAAATTGACAAATGATAATTGACATATCACGTGGATTAAAGCTATATAAATGTATATATAGATAAAATTAAATAAAATTAGCGAAAGAAGGAAAAAAAACAACGAAAGCAGAAATGTAAATCATATCTTTATTAATAAAAAAGAAATTATACGCAATTGTCATCACAATTGAAAGGCGAAATGTGCAAACGTTTATGAGACATTACAAAGATGCGATGACGAATCGTGCATAGAGAGACTAAAAACTTGTCAATTCGTTTGAATACGATACGAAGTATGAGAAACTATAATGCCATTTTAGAAGTAAGTTAGTCTTTAAAGTAAACCTGGTCTCGGATTGTAATTTTCGTAGGACGGCTGCAGCGTAGATCTCTCGCGAATAACTAAAATTAAACCAGATTACTGGCTCGATCTTGTGGCAACGATTAGATACCTTACAAATCTAAATAACTGATATTTAACGACGCGATGTGAAACGGAGAAACGCGATGATCGACGAGCTTGATCCGCGGCTCGGATCAAGCACTAAATTTAAGGGGGAAAAGATTGATGAGACAATCTTGCGGAGACATATAATAACGGGTAAAATCGTGTATACTAACTTAACGTTCGACGCACTACAGTATATCTTCAAATCGAAACTGGTTTAATTCGTGTCACGTGATCCGTATATTCTTTGGCAAGATTGCTTGTTGCGGTTATCTCGACGAGGATATCGGATCAGGTTAACAACTCGAGTTAATGGGACGATGCACGGGCTGGGAACGTCGGGTTTAGCAAATTGTTTCGACGATTTTATACTAGACGTATGTATGTATCTGCTTGCAAGCGCGTGCTTGCGAATGAAATATATAGAAACCGCAACACACTTTGCATATGAGTTACACATCGTTACGTATATCGAAATATATATTATATATGTATATATTTTTTGTTTAAGAGTAAATCTTATTTCCCTAGAGATGACTCTTTTTTTTCTACATTTCAATCTTGGCAAAATAGATCATTGCAGGTCGGTATGTACACAGTCGTCGTTAAAACGTGTACGCGTTTGCTGCTCATATTGTTAACGTTGAACACATGAGAGGAAAAGAGAGAAAGAGAAAGAGGAAAGAGGGACAACATTCAAACAATTATATATAAGAAGAGTATTATTTCGAGAGTATTCGTCTTAAATAGCACAGCCTTTGCTAAACCCGCTTCCGCATTCGCGTCGATGGCTCGTAAAAAATTACAATCGTCGGTTAACTTAACTTCTTTACTTGCGGCAAAACGAGCGACTAATTAACGTCACGGATCACAGCATCGTGTATTCACGACAGAGAAGTTCCTCGGATGAGCCAAGATGTAAACTCATACGGCAAATTTTGTGAAATAACAACAACGTTCCTCTAACGAGTATCTCTCGTTAATTATATTAATATATTCGGCTATCTATCGTGACGCGACGAGTTTTACAAGGAATAGAAGCGTCTTAAGAGAAAGATATTGGAATGACATATTTCGCATTCATGCTCGAACCGCTTAGCAACAGGTATTATATCGTGCAATCGATTGGCACGTAGATCGACCAAAGACAATGCATTTGCGGTTTGCGGCGCTTAAAGAGAGCTTTCTGACGCAAAACGCTGAAACATAAACTTAACTGAGAATACACGCTTGTTTGTAAACTGTCTTTTTTCATATGTAAGCGTTATTTGAAACAACTTAATTAGTTTTAAATTAATTAAGAATTACGCTTCAAATAATACATCGCATAGGTACAACTTGCATCGCGTAGTCACAAAAATCGGCAGTTTACGCATACTGCAAGTCAGTTTTGCGCGCGGGCCAGCCGCGTAAAAATTTCCTTATCACACCTTATTACCAAGTTTTCGGAAAAGTGTCTTTTTTGTTTGCAGCAAAACAATAAATTTTCCAACATTCGGGAAAGCCTCGCGAAACATTTTCTCAGCCATTCCCGCAAACTTTTGCTCCCTTGTTGTTAAGTTCGAGCATAAATAAATACATAGAACCGTCATGTTTCCCAGCACACAAGATTTATAAATATTAACAGCCCAAGTTAACCACGTTATGCCACCCGCGTCTACTCGCACAGTATATAATACACACTACCCCATGTAATTTACTACACGATATAAAATGCGGTATTTACCGCTATCATATTTACCATTGGCCCTTCAGCAGCACATGTCGAAGTCCCTCGATATTATCTTTTTCGTGAGATATTCCAAATCGATGAACACTCAAACGGTTATTGTAATTTATGACTGTATTTGTTTGCGCAAGCTGTCATAATTTTTCCCAGCCTGAAGCGTTAAATTTTTCGTATGTACATTTCAACGGGAATCTTAAAGATTAAATTGTTTTTAAACTTAATTATATTAAAAAAATATATATATAACAAAATATAATGAATTACTTGTTACGTCGAAATTCGAAACTCAATGCACTTGTTGTTTGTGCTCGCAGTTACCATAGTAGCGATAAATAGTCATGATTGTAAAATCGAAACAGGCTTTCGACGTGCTTCTCGATATACGATATGTGCGGTAGACACGGGGTACGACATCTGGCCCAACGATGGAGGGATGGAATGTAATTCAGGAGGAATCGATATGCCCGAGGTGGCACAGTGGATCCATTACTGCGTCGTATTTGACGACCAATTGGGAACAAGGGAAAGTTATTGTATACTTGTGTATGTTGTATGGCTACCGTTCTCTATCACGGCGAAAAGTTGTTGCTGAATTCTTGTGCGGTGAAGTCGACTTTTCTCGTTCACCGCGCCCCCACGACGACGTCACGTTGACCGATCTTATAATGGCTCGACACATTGTAGCTCGCGAATCCTAGGCGAAGGCGTTCGTCTGTCTTTTCCTATCCTAAATGCGCGAAACGTATCTACTTTTTTCTTCTCCAGACAGGAGGACGAGATTTCGCAGTCGACCGTGTCCTGCAACGGTCGAGCGGTTCCGCGCGAGCCCGGAAGGAGCTGAGCTGGTTGCATCTATCGTTTAACTTCACTAATTTCGTTCATCTTTTGTACACGTTTTGTACGACTAAACTCCAATAGAAAATATCCGATTAACAATAGTTTGCGATAATTGACGATCAGGTCTAAAAATTAACTGCATCATTGACAAACTTGATTAATTAATTCTAATTGATAACTCCTTTAAATTATGGCCTCGATTTATATAGGTAGAAAACAGAAATGCAGTTAACCACGATTAGCGACGATAATCGATGTTGATGCAATCAGCCCTAAGGCGTCTCGAGAGAGATCGAATTGCGAGTACCAGACACCACGGATGAGATTCCATTGTTTGCCCTAGGAGTATCGATTTTCCGTGGAATCGAGTTCGCTGCTTTGAGTGTCACTTGTGATCGCTTGTTGACTCGTCGATTTGAGAAGCCTGATATACCAGAACGAATATATCCGATACGAAAATATCCCTTTTGTACAATCATCAAACGATTCAGTCAAGCTAGCTATACTTCCGTTACTCAAGACACTTGTAAGTCAAATCATATATATATTTGAGCAAAATTCATTTATCTTAAAGAAATACTAGTGAAAAAAATATATTATTGCTGTACAAAAATCTATAATAAAATTTTTTCGTACAAGGAATATTTCACGGATTTGAGTAACTCATTAAAAAAAATAAGCCCTTCCATGATTTTCGAAAGATTCAATTTTGATTATATTAGATTTGTGTGAAAATTTTGAAGCAATCATTGCAAAGGGGATGCCTGGAGATCTCGCAATTCTTAAGAAAAATATTTTGGCGCACGTTTCCTCGCAAAAAAGTAAATACGTTTCGCAGGCAGCAACGTCGAGATGAAACATCGAGACGTTCCGCTTCGGTGATGAAGACAAACGTTACATCGGATATTTCGTGACGATGTACTGCGATGCACTCGTCGAAAAACCTTCCTGCTGAACGCTTGCGTCGCGACGACCAACGTCTTCTCGTCGACGTCGTTTGATAGCGAGAGAAATTGATCTTAATTCAAAGAAATGTATATGTATCATGGCAAGAAAAATTTTCTATTTCTAATATCCGATTATAATTTGCCAAAAATTGAGATCCGATTGGAATTAAATATATTATTAATCTAAATTTACAATGCCAATTTTTATTTTTGTATAAACTGTGTTGATCCTCATTTTACTACATGTATTAATATGTAAAAATTTATGTCTCTATTAATCCTTGTATAAAATACAATTAAATTATACACAATGCCACAAATAAATAACATGTAGATATTTAAGTTCTTCATTACTTTTGGCGATTGCTCCATCTGTATATGCGATAAGAAATCTACTCAAAAGCGACGTTAATCAGGGCGCGATAAGACTGAACTTCGAAAACAATCAATTTCTCTCATTATTCGACAATTCAGACGATTAATCGATTGGACGGTACGGAAGGAGCAGGACGGGGTCGTCGCGCGCGACTGCAAAGTTTCTCGGATATTTACAAGTCGAAGGATTCGAGCGGTGCGAGTCGCAGCGCTATCGCGCGGATCTGATTATCGTCGGAGAATCGCAATCCGGTCATCGGTGTTGGCTCGATCGTGAAAATCCTTCGAGGATATCCGTCCGCTCTTCGTCTGCGAAAAGATCCAATCGATCCGCTCGCTCCGGAGCTCCGAGTCCGCGTCGAGACCTTGTGATTCGATCAACGTAGCCGGTTAGCATCTATAAAGACAAGATGCTAGACTGCCGTGGGGGCACGCGATTGTCAATGCCACTTCGCCTTTTGCGCGAATATATCCGCGCGCAAATTCTGCGCGAAGCAGATTCCCAGAATCTGAAAACAGTGAGAACACTCCGTTTATCGCTGTGCCGTAAAGCATCCGCGAGAATTAAAAAGAGAAACGCTCTCTTAGCATTTTCATAAAATATTCGCGAATGTCTGAAACGTTTCAATTGATATTCGATATAGTATTCTAAAAGTAGAAATAATATTTCTCTTGTTACTGTCAAGACGGTTCTGAAGAATATTTCATAGAGAGAATATTCTTTTAATTTAGCAGAATAATTAAAACGATACCTACATTTGCTTTAATCGTCCACCGTATTCGTGAAACGATGTATTATTTTTATACTTAAAATAACTGATGTATAAATGATGTATAAATAGTCTGCATTAAATCAGGTTTATGAAAATGCTAAAAGTATATTTATAACTACTAAAATTATATAAAATATATAAAATTTACTGATATAGAATATATGAAATTTATCGAAAGAATTTATCGATAAATTTTTTAGTTGGAAGAAAACTACTGAAATTAAATTGATTTAATTCGCTACCATTTAGTAGTATTTGTGCTCATGGTGAATATGCATACATCTATAATTTTGGATAATTGGATACACGTACGTACGTATAATTAATCTGAATAATTAAATCATACATCACATCGAGATGCAATCGATAAGTTCTAATAGAACGAGCAATATCAACATGCTTTGAGCAATATCAACATCTACTTGACACATACGTTGTAAGGGGAAAATTCATTACGTAAAGTAAGCATGAATTTAAAATCCTTTAATAAAATTCAAGAGAGGCTCAATATATTACGCTGATAAACGCACTTGCGCCGCCTATATAGCTACGTGTTATTATGTATCTCGCATCTACTTTACGTCTTCCCGCGTGTAACACTGCGAACGAAACTGGTAACAGTCAACGTTGCAAGCACGGATAAAGTCTCACCTTATTTCCTTTAGGGCATGCAACGGCTCCATAATACAGCGGTCCGCATCAACGAATATACATCGCGAGAAACGTGCTAAAAACTCGTTTTAACACTCTGAATCAATGATGGCAATCTTGAGCTACATAGAATATATCTGAATCGCAAATTGAAAATTAAGCGAGAGTTCGCACCAAGAGTTTGAGTTTTCCATTACGGGCTGAATTTTAAAAGAATCTTAACTACCGTAAAACGCCCACACGCGGTCACTTGAAAATAACGTTTTTCGAAAATTCTCGACCAAGATTTCCACCTTGACGCCTCGCAATTGACGCTTCATCATTTAACTTAGGTCATGTCAAGTGTTGAACGTACGGATTCCAAATGTTAATTAATCGCGAGAGAGTCAAGTCGCGAGGTACTTCCACGTACTCGTCGAAAGTTTATCGATGCGTGCCGAAGATCGGAGCTTGTACTTATGCTAATGCATTTTACCAGCATCATATACCTGAGTGAATGCTGTGCCAACCGCACCGCTGGCAATCGCGAGGAGATTTCGTTCTATCCATTCCTCGCCGGCCTGTATGCAACCTTTTTCATAAATCACTTTGGCGACCTCAAAGTTCTGCAAAAGAAGAAAAGGAAACGGCTACTTTGCTTACCGTCAGCTGTCCCCCTTTCCCCGGGGGTCACGCTACTATTACAGTTGTTAGTCCAGGACAATTTTCCGATGGTGGTGGTGGTGGTATTAGTTCCGTGAAGGTTTCCGTAGAGAAAGTGAAAGGATAGCTGCACCGTTGTTTATGTAACTCCGGTTTACCGTCGATCGCGTCAATCGGTCGCTATTTTAATGCGCGCGTGTCGCAATCCCTTTAAACGTTCGTCGCGACGCGTTTCGCGTTTCGCCATTTACGCGAATTGTGGTAATAATCGAGGCTAGATTTAACGATAGCTAATAACCTATCAGCTACGACGTGAACATGATTCTTTAATTAAAGTTTCATGTTCGATATATTTTAAGTCATATCACAGCAATCTTATTCTGTCCTTCCGACGAGACATTTATCGCGAACGAATTATAATGTTGACACGTCGGTGTTTCGCAAGATTGCGATGCGCTCGAATAACCGCGCGCGGAACGCAAAAACTGCTCGCAAATGAGAGCGAGGATAAAATCCACGATGATAACTCTCGGTCGCCCGAAGACGAGAACTCGCGAGAACACTGAAAAGGTCAGGACTGCTCTCGGTTTTACATCCCGCTTGATCTCGTTCTTCGTTCCATTAAGTGAAAACTCAATAAGGTACTCGGACTCCAGTCGACGTGTTTTCTCTCTGCGCGTTTTTCACGATTCCGTCGCGAGAACTATATCACTCGGAGGGAAGCTCGTCCAGGAGGAGCGAAAGAACGGTAACGTGCGTTATATACGAGAATGACGTTCTTAAAGGAGCGATATCCCGCTCGGTCGTGGCCCCGAACAATGAATTTCGCCGCTTAAATTTTCTAGCGAAGTCTCCGGCCGGTAACTTCAATTTCCAGTCATATAAAGGTAGCAACTTGATTTATTAGGAATGGGTAAGGGCTGCGCCGGAGGGGCGCAAATCGAGCCGGGATCGTAAAGTGGATCCAAAGGAGGAAGAGGAGGAGGAGGAGGAGGAGGAGAAAGAAAACGGAAGGAGGATTTCGAGCGGAGGGAACGGAGGGCACGTACGTACTCGAGAAAATATATATACACGTTACAGCGGCGGGTGCGCGGAAGGCGGAAAGAGGAAGCACGTATGGGGCATTTACGGGGTCGGGGGACGGTAGATAGGGGAGGAAAGAGGGATCCTAAGTAACAAGCCCATTCTGTTACGCCGTGCCTCGCGCGTTTACCTTCAAGGAGCCAGGGAGTAACTACGCGAGGCTTTCAACCTGCTACTTCATTTACACCTTCTATACCTCTCCGCTATCCAACTTTTCCCTTAACGTTGTCCTTTCCGTCTCCTTCTCGATACGCGGACGATATTGTGCGACTGCCTCATTAGCGGGGCGTTAGATGCCCTAATTACTTAAGAGTTTTCGTCTCTCGTTCTTCTCCGTCACTCTTCCCTTACGTCCCTTACGTTGAAGGGTCTCCCGGTGCGGGAACTGCTAATTTATTCTGGCTCTTCAACGTCGCGCGCGCGTGTCAAAGCGGCCGACGATGCGCGCGATGACAGCGACGAGATTGGGGAAGACCGAAGGCGGAAAATAGACGACGAGGGTCTGGTGTGTACCCAACGTGACTTTGGTTAAGCGCAGTTAATTGAGGCTCTGACAGGGCGTAAGCTACGAGTAACGAAAATTTTTCAGCGGCGCGACGAGAGAAGATTAATTTGACGGTGGAAAAAGCCTTCCGAGCCAACGTGCCACTCGTTTCTATTCATCTCTCCACTGTTCGTTCAGCTACTTGCCAACATTTCTCACTCCACGACGAGATCCTTTCCCGGGCGTTTTTCGAGCCGCGCCGCGGGATAGCATAGCGCGGCGATGGCAGCCTCCTTATTTTAGCGTACTATAATCTCCCCGTATTAGCATAGATAACATCGCAATTCTGGCGCAGTACAATCGCGCGCGCTAGCGTATAGATAAGCGCGCGATTATAGCGTAGCATAATCCCGGGCTCTAGCCTACTAGTATAATCCGGTGATTTTAACGTAATATGATTTTGTGCCTCGCCCGGGTCGGTTGGCCTTGTATGTACGTAATTCTGACGTATAATTGCTCGAGCGATACTTTATGGCTGCGATATAGTTTGCGATAATCTTCCTCAATCAGCATAAAGAATCAACATAAATCTTAGACATTCAGGTACGTGGAAAATCGCTAAATGCAATTTTAGATGCACTTTCTGTCCGCGCAATACGACACATACATTTTTCCCAAATCAATTTACCATTCCATTGAGTCGTTTATTAATTTCGTAGCTATCATATTGACGAACCGACGGTTAGGTTAATCGTATTTTAATAGCAAATTTAATGATGAATTTCTCGATAATTTTCGATTAAACGTGTCAATTAATGTAATATTAATGCGCGCCAGTTTACCAGCCGATATGTCAATATGCAATCTTGTTGCGATGTAATTGGATGCAAACACACCGTCCAAATAACAATAAAACAATAAAACTCGCGCCGGCCGTGAAATTGAAATTTGAATAATTAGCATGGAATTAATATAGTCGCGCCAAGAGAGAAAAACGCTCGATGTTTATGACGCGTAAACTGGTTCTTCAGACGTTTGTTGCGTATCGAAGTGAGGTACTATATAATCGGTCTAGCTGTCAAGATTATCCAGCGAGTTGGCAGTAATTTACCATACTGATTACGGGACGGGAAAAACTCGTATTATTGCATCGCGTGCCAGCTTCGTATAAACACTTTTATAGAATAGTTGCAAGGTGCACGCGCTTATGACTTATATTTCTATCTTCATTAAAGTATATAATGCGCTTAACTATGCGGAAAGTGATGTTTCCGAGAGGAAAGAGAATGAACGAGAGGCGGTTATTGAACGAAATTATGCGACGACAAATTAACAATAATCATTGAAAATTTTAAGAGATACGCGATAGTCGTGATATTTGCGTAAGAGTATACCGATGTGTAAAGTGTAATATGGGAACGTATCGATGAGATAATTGTTATCTAAATATTCGTCGCAAGTATTGGCAGATATTTGAATTGGCTAACTCTGTACACTCGATTTTTGCAAAATCAAATCTACATGAGTACACATATTTCAATAGAGATGATATTTGTTGCACAACGTATTCGCACAAATGAATCAATTGTAAATAATGTGAACTGCGTTTTGTTATGAAGAACAAAATTCTCTCGGACGAGTACGCTTCGATGTATACCATATACCACGCATTTCGTTATTACACGCATTATGACGTTTTTGTTTAGAAGCGGGATATACATAGTACTTACCGTATCGATTCTCCCTCAAGCTATCGCGTATCGATACAAAATGCATCGCCGAGAATATACACGTCATTCTGATACTTATACTTACTTACTATCTGACCCATATAATGGAGAGATATGTTTATAAGCGTACGTAACAATAGTAACATTTCTACATTTGACAATGCGACAAGCATTATACGCTATCGAACAAAACGTAAGCAGAACTAAAAACGAGAAATAAAAACGATATATCAAATTTGTACATAATATCGTGAGACATATTACTGGGACATTGTCACGAATCACCGGATGTCTTTTTTATTGATTCTTTGCGGATCGAATTCGAAATCGAATTTCTCGCAATATGAGAAAATATCGAGCTTCGCGGTTAAAAGAGCATTCGGCGGTGATTTCCGAGACGTCCCGTGCAGAATTTCGTCACGTCTACATCTAACATACATGCGATCATGTTCGTAAACAGCGAATCATCTTTACCGAGGTAACCGAGAAGCTGGGGAACTGCAACTTTCTCGCGCGTGTGCCTTAGTAACCATGTCGCGTCGCAGCTGAGACATGCCACGCGGAAAGCACGCGTTTAATGAAATTAAAGCTTTTTAACGGTAAACCACTTTGCATCGCTCGGTCGATCGCGCTCCGCCTGCCCGCCGGTACTTGGCCCAAGTTTACTTTTTCCGGTCTTTGCACCGCGCGTCGGCGTAAAAACGGATCGATCGGCGCGTCTGGAATATTCATCACACACGTACGCCTTTAGAGAAGTAAGGCAGAGAAGTAAGTAAGGCAACGCCATTAAGGCGTAATAGCGGCGCGTTTACGTATTAGACCGTAGAAATACACGCTCGCGCGCGGATGTCACGCCGAGTGCAACGAACGATAGTCCGTATATACTTTCCTTTCCTTTCCGTGACGGCGGTCGTGCTATCAATCTCCGGCTGCTCGCGAGCGTTATATTGGAACGGTATTTCTCCCGCCGCGCCGCGAAATTCATACGCGCGCGGCGGTGTTTCTCTGAAAATCCTCGTTGCCTCGTATATTTCTCGCGAGATTCTTCGTCGCCGCGCGCAATTCCGCCCGAATAAAATAGGAATACTCGCGGAAATAGAAATATCACTCGCAGATTGCTGTTTACGTAGACAACTATATTTGAAAATATATACATTATAGAATCGGTATCTATAGACATATCTACCTTCTTCAGAATTTCGTTTAATATATCCTGGCGCGATTCTTAGCAAACTCGTGAAGCGTTTACGTATATAAAAAGTATGGTATTTTAATTTACAGATTTTTTTAAGTGGAATATTTTGCGGCAAAAGCGATCGAAGAAAGTTGAGGCTTCCCAGCTTAACGGACGACAGTTTTTAGGATTAAAAGTACCTGCAGAACCATGGTGCTGACCACGGTACCGGCGACGGGTACGAGGTTCAATTCTAGCCACTCCTCACCCGCTCTTAGGCAACCCCGCTCGAATATACTTCTCTCTCCCGTCTGCATTGGCCCGAGGGAGTAAATAGAAATGGTTTAAAAAGCCGGTAACACACAAGGGTGCTTGCTCGAGCTCAGAGACTCGAAATTACGCCGTCGGTTGTGGGCTGCGGTCCACCGATAACGCGCGAGCAAGCATCGATACTATACATTTTCGTTCTCTCTCTCGCTCAACGACAACGAGGGTGTGCTCTTTGGGCGTGAATGAGAAAACGACTCCCGTTTTCCTCTTAATCGCGACTCACGACATACAGATATATTTTTATGCCGCTGCGCGAGAGAACCCACAAAGCACGCCCCAAGGGGGAGAGAAAAACTTAAGAGGGTTTATCGACTGACGCGCGGGCATAACTTAGCGGTTTAAACCACAGGAAGGAAAGTAAGAGAAATGTAATAAGGTGTTCGTGATGCTCGCCGTTGCGTGAAGCGATCCGGTGCGGAGTGTGGGTGCGGGGTGTAACGAGGGGGAGACGGTATTCGCGATGGTATACACGTAACGTCGATTCTCCGTCACGTGTAGCAGATTTTTGAGGAACCCACCCGCGGGGATTCAACCGCATTTGAAATTTATATTCTTATTTGCAAATTGTGACCAAATACGATAATCGTCTCGAATGTAATTTTTATTAATTTGTACACGGCACACTCATAATGGGTGAATAATATCGGTGACGTTTAATACACCGGCACGGAAAAAGCTCTTTATCGTTATTTATTTAGTCGCATTTTATCGGTCCGTAACGCATCGCGGTGCACATTAACGATCTCCCGACAAAAAATATAATTAAGCGACGAGGGCTTCTCTCGATGAAAGCGTAATTAGCGAAGGGGCGGACTCCGAGCCATTACATCGGGAATGATATACCTGCTCTTAAAATAAAGCCTGCACAGAAGTTCTTATCCCCCCTTCCTCTCCCTTCGCTCTCTGCCACCCCTCTCCCCTTTCCTCTCCCTTCGTCCCCTGGACTCGACTATTTTCTCTCTAATTAAGTTCCACAGTTTCTTGACCCGGATCGTTTTTGCCCGCGCTTGTAGACATTGTGTAATCGTGCGCGCGCGACCCGCGCAAAACTACCCCGGAGAACTACCGCTATCTCGAATCTGGCCCCGTGCGATGGAGCGCGATTCTAAAGACAAATTATTCGGCCCCTCCGAGGCACGTTCCACTTGGTTTACCGTACTTTCGTAACGGCGGCACAAAATGACGCAAGTTTCGAATCGGAAACAAGGCGAAACTAGGATACCACGGTCGGAATGTTACGGTCGGGTGTCATTCGTAATATGTGGATGTAGAGTATGTAAGTTACGATAGTTACGAAATAGGTAAAGGAGTTTAAAAGATATGATTAAAAGAACTTTTTGGATGGGATGAATTTAAAGACTCACATTAAAAACGCGGAACATAAGAAGAGACGAAAGTAGAGTATAATATTTAACCGAAAATAACATGTTTTGAGAGAAAGTGGTTTTCGTATCTTTTATAATTATGAACTTTTCAAGTCCGGTTTTCTAAACGTTATTTGTTATACGACAAAGGTAAATATTTTAATTTAAAAATTCTTAATCAATATTAGCGATAGAATAAAGATGTTATACTTACGTAACTGGGCTTTCTTACATCATAACCGCATTGTTTATTTTTAATGATTTCCTGAAACAAATAAGAGGAGAGAAGATTTGACTTTCAACCGTAGAATTAGCATTCGATGGGAAATGATTTTATACAGCGGTAGCAATCACGAGTACTATAATCAGTATGGAGAAAATTACATTAGGTTTTCGCTTGCAACAGCTAAAAGGCACGCCGCACGCTTCCCTTGAGCCTATGTCGCTTGACGAACAATTGAAATAATTGTTGCGGTCCCAATCCCTCGGACCCTCAATGCCGCAACACTGCAACTGAAAAATAAGACAACAAATTTTATAATATTACGATATAACGTGCTTCTATATGTTAAGAGAAACCGCTAAATTTTGAATTGCTTATAGATTCCCACACGGATTCTTTGATCTACACATCTACACAGAATTTCGTCGTTTTCGATGTAATAGTTCGGCAGGAAACTCATCGCAATTCGTTCGCATAAACAGTTCGAGAATATTATCCTCAGGCGAGGCCGAAGTCAGCGCCGATATGATCAATCGCGGTCGAATTTGCGATGAATATCACGAGCGGGTATGAATTTCAAACGTCGTCATAAATAATTCCGATGACGCTGGAAATTCAGACGAGGCAATATTAAATACGCGACTTAAAAGATAAGATCGTTCGATAAGCGAGGAAGAGAGAACGTCGCGTCCAGTTCGGAAGCACCAGGCTATAATAAGCGTATAAGAGAACGAAATTATCTCGTTGCAAGGAGCCGGGTATTAAGGGAAGGAGAAAAAGTGTGGGATCATGTGAGTTGGGATTCGGCTCGCAACGAGGCTTGGCCAGCGACCGAAGTCCCGAGACCTTCATTAAACCTCAATATACGTTTCCTCTGCGAATCCGAGATGCTTTATTCTTCTTCCTCGGCTACCCGTATGTGTCCTCGTTGGTTAGTTCGGTAATTTTTTCACGCTAATCCCGCCGGCCAAATGGCCAACAATGAAATGTTTTCTTTATATAAAGGATACCCGATAAAGTTTCTCCTAAACATTAATTCTGCGTATAACTGTGCCATTGGGAGTAGTAGCGTCATTTGCGACAGTCGTCTACAACGGGTAATTAATTCGTAGATCTTGCAGGCACTAATTTATTTGGGAAAATCTCTTGCCAATAAGTATAACATACATTGCACACCGCCAGTTAATATTATGCTATATATGCATTTGATTAATCAGCCGGCAAGCGCGCACACGCGTATCTCGCAATACTATCGTATAATTAATTAACCATGGGAATATTCGTATTTCTCGGTACGACATTCGCGCCGCGGACGGGAGATATTTCACGTTTAATTAAAAGGCATAAAAATGAATTACCTGACGCGAAGTGTATTAGATTCTCTCGCCGGGGTTAAAAATAGAGAATCGATACGGGGAATATCACGAATTCAATTATTAATAACGGGGTTGCATGATGTGAGAGCGCCTCGCGTTTGTCGTTTCGCACGTACTTCGTACGAATTCGATTAATCAGGCGATTCGTTATCGCGATATAAGAAGTGGCTGTCACGCGAAGCCAATATTATCGAGAGGAAGGGAGAAAGGGAAAGGACAAGCGTCGAGCACCGAAAGATAATATCAGGCGGATCCTTCCCCTGGCAACTACCGTAATTTAAGTTGATTTGTTTTCAGCGTGCTCGTTTTATTTTATTTCAATTATTCGTTGCGGTAACGTTTCAATTCGTTCCAATCAAATATTCATAATACGAAACATGGGCGCGTGGAATATTCATACGAGATGCGAATGCGAGTCGAGTATTGAGATACGAGATACGAGTTTCCGATTGTAGCTGGATTTAATTATTATTCGCTCGATGGCCGTACAGGCTGTATCAAGAGAGATCGACAACAGGCGCTCCGCTCGATTCGCCATCGATTTCTCTTTGGGCGAGAATTTCGCCGTAACTGGCAAAGCTTAAACTGATAGAGAACATGTAACACAGTGAAACACGCAGATAACAATTGGAATTCACGCGAATATAACGGAATCTTCAGTTCGTATTTCAATTCGTTATCGTTATTGAATCTCTTGACGATCTCCGAACGACAACAAGAAAATTAACTTCGACTTTTTGGTCAGGGCGCGTTCAACGTTGAGGAACGGCGCGGCGCGGCGCGGCGCGCGCAAAACGGTATTGCAGAATGAAATATTCTGCCACGGAAGAATCGACTCGAGATTCCTCCAGGGACAGAATTTTTCTCGTTTGCCGACGTACCCGTCTCTCTTGATACATCCTGTATATCGATCGCGCCGGACCGAACCGGCCGAGTTGAGCCAATTGATAAGTGGGATGGCGACGGTAAATACGCTCCGCGCCACCGCACGAAGTCGAAGTACTAAGCATTTCATTAACCGCCTATAAATGGTACCGAGTGAATCCCGACGGGATCAGACAATGCGGTGTATGGCAACTTGGTGGTGCCTCGGTTTCCCCGGGGCTGATAGGATTGCCGGAATTGCGCGCCGGCATACCGGGCGTCCCTATTGAAATCTCGTAAACCACAATTGGTCGGGCGACCATCGATTAACGAATTCGACGCTATCGCGCTCTCGGCCGAAATCGACTGTCATATCTTCAAACGGAATTATCTTAATCCTCGGAAACAACGTTGAATCTGTATATCTATGAGTGTACTATGGTATTTTACAATTTTTATCTGCGCGCGTGCCACAATCATCTTTCGCATTGCAGCGTCTATAAATCTTATAGAGTGCCTTGGAACTCGAGTATCGATATAGTTGCTCTACTCAGAAACGTATTCAATTAATGCAGTTTCTGATAACTGATGTTAATTAAACTGAGAAAAAGTATTATGCCGTGTCTTTTATCAATCTCATATTATTCAATTTGTTAAAATGTGAACCGTTGTATTAACTATGACAACACGACGATAGTTTGGACGCGATGGTTTGCCGATGATGGAATCGTGGTGGTAATTCAACGCTTGCGGATTCATCAGCGGTCCCGGAGCCCGCCGTCCGCGCGCATTCAAACATTAACCGAATCAGTCCGCAAATGTTTCCGTATGTCTCCGCGTCGCGCAATAATTTATGTGTGTACATACATATTGATCGATGGATCCGCGGCAATCTACGTCGCATCTACATGGCTATATGAACAGCGCAAACCTCTCGCGGCATGTTTCGATACCGACCTTCATCCATCCTCCGTGGCAGACGTCCGCTTTTTACTCAAACTGAATCCCGCTAACCGCGCGACGGATTCGTCGGCTAAATTAATTCTCGCGGTTCCGCTGGATACTTGGCCGAACGTAAATCACTGTCGCGCTCCGCGCGCGCGTTCGTAAAGTATGGCGGATCGAATGAAATTTTCGGTGGATCCGGTTCGGCAGTGTAACGTGTGGTTGCAATGTGCGAGCGAGCGCGTGTGCGGTTTACCGTCGACTAGCTCCTACTGATAGGATTACCGAAATTGCGGCAGTGTACCCGGGCGGTTCTATTGAAATCTCATAAACCACAATTGGATAACCGGATATCGATGGTCGAACGCTACTATATTACGCGCCATTTGGGCGCTGCCGCGTGGCATTCGGAATCTGGATCTGGCCAGATTTTCGTGCTGCGGCCGCGGCGACTCGATAAAGTTTGCGCGAGCTTCCGCGTTTCGGAAACCGCGTCTGACCGCACGATTTCCTGCACTACTTGGAAATGCGAGCACGCGCGCTTATTAAGGCCGCCGCGCCGGTATACGTTCGGCTTCGGTGATTCGATACTTCGACGGGGTAACGAGCACGAGGGAAGCACGGATTATTCTAGTTATATTAATATAATGAAGAATCCTGATATAATCAACTTGCCCAATCTTCTTGAATCCAATCGATGAGGTTCTGCTGATCGGGATCCTCTCTGTAGTGGATGATGAACGCTTGGAAGCCTCCCGTAGCTTGTGACTTTATCTGCGATGAACAAAATATCGTATTAATTAATGTCAATCAATCTGTCTTTTATCAATTAATTATTGTTCTAAGATCTAGCCTAAAATTTTTTAAATCAATCTATCCCAATTTTGTCGCCCGAAACAAGAGAAAAGAAAAGTGTCTGGATATAAGACCGTATACACCGAAGACCTCGTAGTCTCTACGAAGACTTGTTACGGTGGGTGATTTCTAGTCCGGGATATTCTCTCCGGACAATTGACGAGCGTCACAGGTGTTGCAGGTGCAATTGCTCAAGGACGAGTTAACTTGCCGCCAGTCGTGAAATAGAATGGCGCGCATTAAAACGCGAGCTGCGTGCGAATACGGGGATATGATGGCACGTTTGTTGGTTGTCCGAAATTTTCCACCGGGAGAAAATTCTCGTCATGTTTAAAGGATACGGTTAATGGAATTAATTAGTAATCCAGGAACTCTCTTGCTGCATAATTATACGCAAACTTCGTCGGCGCCTAGACTATACTCTACATCTTCCTCGCGCATGGGTGTACATATATCCAGAGCGAATGAGATTGTGAAATATGCACCGACGAGAGAAAGAAAGAGAGAGGGAGAGGAATATTATACAATGTATTCGGCATATTCGCTTTGATAATTCAGCCACGTTTCTCGTAGCTACTGAATTAATAAACACGGTAAGCAGAAACGATTACGAATGAACGCAACGAAACTCGAGGAACACTTGTCTTGGAAATGTTGTGTATAATTCTGCAGGATAAATTTTAGTAAAGCTGTATACTTCGCGAAATATCATCTGCGCGAATAATGAAATGCGCACAGGGTATCCATCGAGCAATATTAAATTATATAGCTGTAAAATAATCTATAATATCTCACACACGCATTTTAATATTTACTAGATTTATACATAGTATTACAAGTATTTTTAAATATAATGTGTAAATATATTCATATTTTGGAAGTTTTGCTGTATAATTATTATTGTACATTATAAATTATTATATATATATATATATATATATATATATATATATAATGACTTTATAAATTATATGAAGCTACGTAATATTTACCCAATCTTTGAAGATGAATCCCAGAACACCGACAGTCATTTCCATCAGCAGTAATAGCGCCAAAAACATCGCGTACTGCAACACGTAAAATTAATTCTATCAAGATCCCATGAGAAATTAATTAGTACCCATTATTGCCCTACTTACTACCCGTTAGAACCATCCTTTCAACGACTCGTTCCCTTACGGGGAACTCTAAATTTCAAGAGTTCATCATCAAAGAAAGCGGAGCTTTTCGGTTTTAAGTACTTTTAAACGTTACATTTCTCAAAGGGCGAACTTTCGTTGAATCGCGCGCGGCGCGGGTGGCCAGCCAATGATAGACCATAGATATCACGTAACGAACCGGAAGCTCGATCCAAGTTCGAAGTTTCCGAAAGATGTTGAGCAATTAAAGTAATCCAGAAAGAACTTAATTGAATTCCGTAGGACGCTCACCGCGGCGAGGAGGCATGTGTTCTCTCGTAGCGCGCCGACGCATCCCGTGAAACCGATGATAAATGTCACTGTACCTGCAACAGAATAAATAGTATCGGGTACTTCGTCATCGCGCGAAATGTAACGTGAAGAACACGAATGCATTCGTCAATATATCGTATAATCGTGAGTTATGAGCGTGGGTGCGCGCGTCCCACCGGTGAATTCATTCCCACATCGACATCCCGGCGTGAATTCCCCAGACACATTTATAGGTTCGCAACGAGGTAGATGAAAAACCCATGAAAACTGGAAACTTAATCACGGTGAACGCTGCGTCAGAAGGATTGAAACGGTCCGGCAATATCGGAGGAGATTGAGAAAAAGAGTTTTGTTTATTTGGTACCATTAATTGAGTTCTAAATCGATAGACTAATCGTAAAAATCATAGTAAATCGAAATTTAGAGATATGTTCACAAAAAGTATTAAAATTATACCTATATACATATACGTACTGTAAATAGTGTTAAAATTATTTTTAACATTATTATATATATACTTGTCTGGTTCTCATTCTTCCTTTTAATTTTTAGTCCTCGAAGTCGAGAAGATTTTATTAGCCAGCAAAACCAAGGAATTCGAAGTGTTCTGGAATTTCACCTGCGTAACAACTCTGATTTACGAACATACGCCATGTATTAGTTACACGTAGGTTCGCGAATGCATGCAGTAACACAAGTAATTATATTAAAATTCCTGTGCGTTCCAGTTGAATTTCGTGAGAGTGCGTCATCAACAGTACCGCGCTGTACCGATGGTAATGCGAAATATTTATGAAATTATCTGTTACCCGCGAACGAGCGTGCCGCGTAATGAGCGCTAAATCAATTCCGCGTGTACAAAAAGTTCGCGAGCACACACGCTTAAAATTTGCTACATGCGTGTGGATTCAAGTAACTCTTTTTCGCCTTTTATATTTAATATGTAAATAACATTAATTTTTTATATGATATAAAACGATACGTTTGCATTAAAACTGTTAAGAGAACTTTCATGCGTATACATATATAAATTCGTCATAAAAATGTTTGCGAATAAAAATTAAATTTTATTCATTTATATTGAAGAAAATAGTGTAGAGAACATTCGTCAACTCTTAGCAAGGATTTAGCGATGAATCCTAATCAGATATTAGACAATATTTCTATGTATACTATAATTTTCATAAATTCGAAACAATGAAGAGTAAATTTAATTACACGTAGCAACGAGATGGCGATGACTCGGTCCATTAAAAAATTTGCAACCGCATCGAGAAAACGATTATAAGTCAAACTCGGCGCTATCGAACTTAATTTTTATCTATCATCGAAAGTTATAAGATTTTAGAACGTGTTTCGGAAATGAGGGGGTAACTTTTAATCCGATGCAGGGACGGGCAACGTAGAACGAAGCTCTTTCAAGTAACTGAATAATTAGTCCAGACTTACTTTCGGAACTTTTGTTAAGCCTTGCCACGAACTAGAAGAAAATGGCAACGATGAAACGCTTTGCGCTCGGACGAAAAACTCGATGAAGAAAAACGAAAAGTGCGAATGTAGAAACGTGTATATACTTGAAAGTGCAGTTGGAAAATTTTTATACCAGGATAAGGCTATTACGAGGCATTTTTGTACGTTAACCACATAAACGAAATCTATTTTAAATTATATAAATTTTTTTATTAACCATTATTGCAATTGTTGCTATAAAAAAAATATATATATACTTATGTTTACTATAAAGACGTTTTATTCACGCTACAACTCAGCTCGTATTTGGATTATAATATTTGGCACGCAATCAATGTTTCGTATAAAGGAAGCAATGGCAGGCGTGGGCCAATGGTAGACGAAAGAGCTTTGCCGCTCTTGCAATATCGCAACGTTGCTTTATGTCGTATGGTAATAAAATTGCATGATAGAGGAACGCATACGTTTGATCTCACCTCGCGACACGCGAATATAACGGCGAGAGAGTGTGAGCCGATAATATCTGTTTCGATTTTAGGTTTTCGTTGACTAAAAAGAGAAGATATATGTATATACAGAGTAATCCAGGTCTTTCGTGCTTTTCTTCGTATTCCGCGAACAAAATTTGAAGTCGATTCTTTTGTAGCGTGATTTTAATTAGATCCGGTTTCTTGTAATTAATTTAGGTTTAACTTGTGGCACGCAAAATTACGGATGTTTCATGGAGAGCATTTGAATTCGCGATGACGTTCAGGACAGGAGTATACACGGGTGGAAATCAAAACGCAGCACTCAATTGCGATCGCATTTATTTAAGCGCGGAACAAACATAATCCAGGATTTAGTGTTTCTCTTTGCACAAGTTTCGATTTATCTGGAATGCTGCGCGATTTTGGCAGGCGGCAGCGCTAATAGTTTTAGGCGGATTTCCAAAAGCGTATTTTCCAAACGAGCTTTGCATTGGGATTGATAAACTTTAAAAAGCATGGATTAATTTTGTGCAAAGGTGAAATTATATAAAATATTTATATAAATGTATATTGTAGAAAATTTTGTAGAATAATTGTCAAACTTAGATTAATTTTGCTAAATGGCAGATGTGTGTTGCGACGGATAAAACAAATGGTTTAGAATATCTGCGATACAATGCAATTTTTGTTCTAAGCGTTAAGGGAATCCTATAGTGGCAGTCGTTACCGACATTTAGTTAAATGCATTAAACTTTTAACTGGCTTTACGGAATTGCAAAATTCTTTTACAGAATTGAAGTACGTACAAAAATGTAGTTCCGTCTGGTCAACTTTACATAAAAAACAAAAGAAAATTAAAAATTTGAGCATATAGAGCTATCACTGACGACAATATTTGCTTATACAAAAATACTGCAGGTTATATATATACAAAATGAGATACGCTGGGACATAGGGAAAACATTTCAGAACAATATCGTGCAATTAGAACTAAAGATTGAAAGCCTAGAAAAAAAGATTAGTGTGTTTAACTTTTATATGTGCAAAAGAACATTCAGGTTGATGGGATAAGCAGTATTGCGTGTAGCGAGTGATGGCGCAGCAATCAAACAAGGACAGATGCCTCTCGTTAGACAAGGACAGATATAGAGAAAACAGGATTAGAAATGTTGACATTATCGACATCGAGGAAGTTCGGCCGTCGCTCTAGGATCCCCTTAACTTTCAAATAGTGCAGCTATAAGTCTAAATTGTTGTTATTTATCTGGTAACCGTTCCGCCAAATTAAGCGCAAGCCGGAAGAGGTAGAGTTACTCGTCAAAGTAAATGCAAGTAATTGGAGCATGAGATAATCGAAAAGCCAGGCTCAAGTCGATGGAGTATGCTACGCAAGTACGAAATAATTAACAAGCGCGCGTCGCTTTCCTAAGTACACAAGGTACACATAATGAGGAGACGTCGATTACTTCGATGAAAATGCCGCTTGAATGACGGCCTAACATTTTTTTTGACAAATTTTCTTTTACGTTACATAAAGTTATATTAAAATTTTCAGCCAGGGGCGCTCTATTGACGTTTGATCAGCTGCAGCGAAAATTCGTAATTTCAAATACTACCGTGCTGAACAAACGTTTAATGGCTCGAAGTTAAACAATGGGATAGTTCGCCGCTCACTTCGGCTCTACGGAATTAAATATTAGCGCAAATATCGTTTTGTACGGTAAATATTAAACTAATAACGCTTAGGTTGCATTACAATGGTACGATGAATAACAAAATTAACCGAGTACATTTATCTTCACGAAACAGGAGCAGCGCGATAAAGGAGCGAACTAGTTCTGTACCTACATCTGATATATTATTATCCTTCCTTCCTCTCTCTTTATCTTTAATGTGGTATAATTTTCAACAAAAATTTAGCGCAAATATTTTTCAATAGTGTCAAACGAACAATTGAAGTAAGTACTCCTCCTCCTTCTCTTCCTCCTCCTACTACTAAGTGAATTCGACTAAGGCGACGATAGAACGAACGCGCTGGCCTCTTGTCGCCGTCCCCTTCGAACTTCGAGGGGATTGTTTCCACGGACACGGGGCAAACAAATGGATGAGCCCCCGCAAATCGGTCCCCACTTTCGTACTCGAGCGGTCTCCCGCGTACCGTTGTTCTTCCGGTGTACCTATACCGGATCACGTGCAAATTCGATTTGGGCCGCCGCGACGTCCCGCAGAGAACCACGCCGTACCACAGGCCAGCCCATCGTATACCGGCTTGAATTCGGTCGCCGGGCACATTCCCGGAAGCATTCTCGCTATTACGGCTCGGCGAAACCGCGTGCGGGTGACCGCTTCGAAAGCGCGCGCGCGGCTTTCCGGAGCGCGGAATCTCCGGGAATCCACGTGTACACACCCGGTGTGTAATTCCGAATTCGATTCATATAGCGTCACGTCCCGCAACAGCGGAGTCTCGGAATGTCATCCTCTACGTCCGGAAACGTGATATCCGTAACGGGGAAGAGAACAGCAACCCAGAGGACCGGCGAAATAAATCGGACCCAGACCTCGTCCTAATTTTATGTCCGTCGCCTTACTGCCACCTCGTATCCAATTAAAACTTTGGCACCCTGTTAGAAGAAGAGAGAGAGAGAGAGAGAGAGAGAGAGAGGAGGAGGAGGGAGAGAGAACGGAAGAGCCGCAGCGCGCAATCTGCGTCTATTTGCCGGTAGAGCACGTGTATTATATAGCCGACGGAATATTACATTCGCGTCGCGAAACGGAGAGAGAGTCTGTGGTGGTTAATGGAAACGTATCGAGGGGGACGCAGCGAACGCGCTTTCTGTCAGTGCGCCCTTAACCCTTCCGTATCCCCCGTATCCATTTTAATTAGTGTTCCGCTGGCTCTCCTGCAGAATTCCTGGCAAGTTTCCGTGCTTCAATATTTATAGTTCTTCGACGAAAATTGGATATTGAGTGCTTTTCGACAAAGATCGGGATCTGATAGGTTCGGAGATATCGTAGGAAAAATTGCTTATCCTTCGACGTTTAAAACAATGATATACTTTTCAGTGTTAGCATAAAACTCGATTCAAACTTATTCACGAAAATCTCTGTATTCACTTTGCACCAATACTGGCACGTACTTCGTACACCCTAATGACCGCGTGCATCACGGGAAAATAGGTTGTCAGGATCGCGGCCGACAAAAAGCTCTTTCCTCTCGCGCAAAACGCACCCTGTAATGGCCGGTAATGTCGCGTGTACGTAGCTTATCTTCCACCCTCGTGGCGTGGGAATTGTGTCGTTGCCTTTGGGACTCCGATTCGTAAAACCTCGTATTCGGTGAGGACGCACGTGGTATCATTTATACATTATGATTATACAACTCCGACATTATTTTTCATTCCATCATTCTACCTAATTTACCCCATGGTTTACGTTTACAAGAGAGCGATTCACCCGGGAAACTACCGATTATTTCTTCTCTCTTTCTCTCTCTCTCTCTCTCTCTCTCTCTTTCTTTTTCTCATTCTTTCATTCTCACTTCGTTTGATGCGCTCTCTCTGTTAATTGAAATGGGCTTATTATGTTGCAAACACGCTCCATGAAACGTTTTGATAAATGTTTACTTGGTAAATGAAACTATATCCGCTCGCGGAAAGAAAAAAATTGTATGTAATTGTTAATTGTCAGTTGTGAATGAATAAAATTACTAACATCCGCGAACATAAAAGGCTATTTACGGTATTATAATAAGCGCGTCTCGTAGAGCGCTAAAAGAATAATTCAAAGTTCTATCTTGTTATAATAACACGTAGGACGCCGTCTTTCTTGCCTCTCTCTTTTCCAAAATAATTAAAACGAATAAATTTCCTATTACTTGTACCACATTAATTTTTTACTATTAGCCCTCTAACACATTAGGAAAGAAGCGTTCCATAAATCAGACTATCGAGATGAAAATTTTTCAAATCTCCAACGTACGCAATTGTACAGAGGTCTCTGAAAAGCGAAGCGCAGAGCGCGTGCCTAAATAATGTAAGACAATGAGATATTGAATTTCAACTTCAGACAGAGGCTGAATTTCAAAGCACCGCGGCATGGCTATATGTATATCTCTATCTGCTACGAGTCTCGGTTGAATGATTATAAGAAGTGGAAATGGTAAATAGTCCTGTTTCTACGTTATGTCGCTCCTTTAAATTCCTCGTTTCCGAAAGGCATCTATAGGACGTTCCGGAATTCGCGACCTTAACTTTGACGGATTCTTTTTGCCGAGTCCGAAGAGCAAAAAAAAGAGAGAGAGAGAGAGAAAAAGTTAGAAAGTATGCGGTTTTTAACAAATTTGTTTCTCTCGGAGAACTTAAACTATTCGAAAAATTTACGACTATGCAGACACCTTAATTTCCGGTTCGCTCCGAGCTTCGTTTCTCGGAGAGGTAAGTTACAATTCCCCGATCTTATCCAAATTACAAATCCGCGCTATATTGTCGGTCGGCGCATTACGCGACTTCCGCGTGAAGGAAGCGCGCGAAATATCGCGGACGAATTAGAACGAATGTCGTCCTCCGGGCAACCATTACGAGACCACCCGAGTGGCGTTAATACAGAAATCAAGTTATGGCCGCGCGGTCGTGCGAAATGGTTCCGCCGACAGAAACGATAGCCCCTTTGCAGGCAGTCCTGAGAGGAAAAATTGCGATCGCCGACACCCCGCCAAGGGAAGGCACCAAATGTCGGAAAACTACGATTCTTACTATGATCAGTCGGCGCATTATGGGGAGTAGTTTCCTTCTTTTATTACAGTTCATTTTCATTCTCTGCCACAAAAATCACTTTATGCTGCTAATATTGTTTTACATTTTTCTGAATTGAAAAATTAGATATGGCAAATATATCTCTTATTTGGAATTTATACTTGAAGATTTAAAGAAATAATTTTTAAAAGTTAGCGCTTTTAATTAAATATCTGTTCTATTTATGCATTAATTTAATTAATGGTCCCGATGTAATTTCTTCAAATGTTTGATATTTTTAAGCGACCAATATATTGCAATAATAATTTCACGAAATGAGTTAAAATCTCTGTCACTCTTCATTGAAGTAAAGCATTGTTTGTATTGTACGTATTTATAATTAGGATTTCCTAAGAACATTTTTGTAGAAAATCCTAAAATTAAAGTTTAGTTCAGTACCACTCGAAGAGAGCCATTATAACTCTCCGTGCGTCTCTGAGAGTCGCGAAATGAGCAGAAGAGAGAAAAGAAGAAAAAGAGAAAAAAAAGCTCTGATACTCACCGACTAGAATGAGGATAAATGCTGGATCGAGTGCGACGTTCGTGAGGCGGGACAGGTTGTTGAAGGTGTCCTTTTCGGTCCATGCCCAGACGCCCACTGCCATGATGCCCAGACCGAGCCACTGCGACAAAAAGAGAGAGAGAAAAGGGGTGAGAGTTAGAGATTGGCTTAAGTGAAGACGAATATCGGCGGTAAGTTTCAGCTAACCGGAAACTTCCTCCGAACTGTTTTCGCGCCGTCTGCCATATTTGCGAACGGAGTTTTTCGATTATCCCGACGTGAGAGATATAAATCCCAGGATAGAGATATATAAATTCTAGCTATTATATAAGTAACGCATTAGATTGATGCAAATGGGATTAGTCGTGTGTTTGCCAAATAAAACTGAAAATATTATGTAATTTCGTGAGAAAAAATAATAGATTATTTTTGCCGATTGTTGCCGTTGACTTTAATACTTTTACTGTATAGAAAGGGGGGAGGTATAAGAAAAAAAAGGATTATTAGAATATAATCGTTGGATCAACGTAATTGCTTGTAGGTGCAAAAAGGTAAATGCGCGTGTTCACGCACGGTTTGTGGGCTTCTGGCGAAACAGCCACTCGGCGAAACTGCGAGTTTGGGTCTCGATTATACGGACCCGGTCGCGTGCGATTGCGCCGCGGATACGATTACCCGCGAATAATGAGAAAAGCACCAGAGGGAAAGAGCGAAAGAGAAGAGAGGAAATCGAACGAGAGTCTAACGGCTCTCGACCGTTAACGGTCTCATGGAGACTCTTTCGCCCGTGTATGTACGCGTAGTTACGTCTCAAATAGTTCGCAAACGACAAACGACAACGTTTGCCGAGTATTCCTCTGGCGGGCCGTTTTGTCAACAATTCTTTTCCTTCGCGTTTTTAAAACCGGCCGCAATAAGCTTTGAGATCGTGATTTTGATAGACCGAGCGTAACGCTTTCCCGAACGTCCACCGAGATCGATCGTCCACACGAATTCCCTCTGTCGCTGATGTATCAATCAAATTTGAAATTTCGTCTTTTCGGCGAATTCTCGGATTTTCAGTCACTCGTGAGATTTTTTTTTCGTTTGATTTAATAATTCAAATTTTAACGATTTTTACCCAAATTTCAACTCGTTTTCACGAATGAGCTCGTCAATTCGCGCGAGGATATAAAACGGTTCAACACCTTTCATCAGCAAGAGCGTTAATTATACAATGCAGCTTTAATATTAGCCTGATTAACATGGCAACCGCATTTGCGGTGAGATTGATATTCGGCGCCGTGGCATTTACTGACATTAAATCCACGCAATTACCGATGACATACGTAGACCATGTTGCGTGACAAGACCGACTTAACGTGAAGTAGCTGCAACACACCTGAGGCTGCGCCTGATAACGCGTACGCATTTCGTGGGGTAATCGGCTCTAATCTCCCCGGAGGGAGACAGGGAGCGACGGGGCGCAGTATGACGGTATACATAACTATTCTCCGCGTTTGCTTTACGTTCGATAATTTTCACGTGCGCGCCGCGCGGGACAAATGGGTCACGGCCTCGTAACGCGGTGAATTAAAAGGCGAGTACTGTATTCCGCAAATTGTTATAAGATTATCACGTAAAATCAGTCTGCGTGTCTAATGATATACGTGCTATAATTACGTATCGTCGTAAACCAGGTTGTTCTATTCTGAACCTTTTATTATACACGATAAAGATCGATATCTCGTTCTCGACATTTGCAGGCGGCAATCATTCAGTTTTGCAAAAATTTCGCGCACGGATCCACGTTCTTATCACCGACGGCGAAAGCTGATATTAATAAAAAAAATTATTTATTGCAGGTTTCAAAAGTTAAACGATTCGTACACTGCCACACGCGATAATATCTTACGAGCGAACGCGGGCGGCCTCTTTCTTTTGTAGTTTTTTTCCATCGTGACCAATTTGACGGAAGCTGAAAAGGGGAAGCGAGCGAGAAAGAATCGTCGAACCCGTCGAATTGTTGGAAAGCCATTCGCGATAAATCATCTCGAAGTTGAAATGTACACACGCGCGTGCACAAATACGCGGCTCCCCGTAAATATAATTTGAAATACGCGGTGCGTTTGCATATTTTATTATTGGCAGCTACCAATTGTGCCCATTTTATAGCTGCGAATGAAGCTTACCCCAATGAATGATCATCAATGTTAAGTGACCACTTTATTTTGTAGTTCTACACATTAGTGTATGTCTTGTTTTTCTTTTACTGAACTATTGTTATATTTATGTTACTATTTATATTCATAAATACATATCTGTCCTAGGCATTAATAAATAACCGGAATTCTCGTCGGGCGCATCAATTTATTGATCGATCAATGTGTATCGACAAACAAAATAAAAAATAGAAGAGTCAAACTGCATCACAAGTCAAACGGTCCTCCGTCGAATTCTGCGCGCAAAATTTTTCTTTTTATTTTTAGGAAGGCGTATGAATAATTTTTTTTCCGTTTCACTGCGGAGGTTCATCGCACGGTGTTTTATTCGCGCCAAAAACTACCCGTTCATAAAAATCGTCGAGACGGTATTTCGCTCTCTCGCCTCCTGTGCGGTCGATGCAGTTGCACGAGAGAGAAGACTGCGAGGGAGAAAGGGAGAGAAATAAAAAGCGACGCGACGGTCGCGGCCGTTCGGCTTCGCGAATGCTCTCCCCTGTGACGCGATAACAAATTTTGTGTCCCTTCGCGTCATCTTCGAATACATGTCATGAACACGGCCGGGGCGTCGCGTGTCAACCCCGGTAACCGCAAACAATTTCTCAACGGCGCATAATTCACGATCGAACGGCTCTCGCGCGATCACGCTCGTGACGTTGAGGTGCGAAGGTGACGCGAGTGACGCACGTCCTCTTTTTTCCGCTCGTTACACCGAGACAAAAATACAATTTTAATACAAAAATACAATTTGTGTGATGAAAAAAAGCGAAAACTAACGGGGTCTCGCCATACATTACATTATTAAATTAGAATTAAATTAGAAATTATTATTAAAATTATAATTGGATTTTACTTGGTTTGAAATATCTTGAATTAATTTTGCGACGCAGCTACTTTTAGAACATTCGCACGATTTATATCGCGAAACGAAAATAGAAAGAAACGCGTACTGCGCGCGTGTTCGTATTTTATCGATGCTTTTATAATTTTCGCGTTTTTTTTCAAAAGCTAAACTCGGCTAATCGATTTACGTGCCGTATACATTTAGATTCTCTTCTCGCGACTATAACGAATTCAATGTTTTATTCCATTGTCTGCGTATTTTTCCATCGTAAAAACGTCTCTCGTGTCTTCGCGTAAACAAATCACTTTTTTGGTATCGAACATAGCATAACCTCCGACAACAATTTGCTAAAAAAAATTTGCTAAAAAAAAGATTGATTGTACATTTTATGTCTACTTAATCAAATTATTTATTGTTTACGAATTTCTCGCAATAATTGCGCTCATGATAGCTTGAATAAATGTTGGTTCTGTGGTGCAACGTCGAGCTATTCTATAAATTTTAATATTGTCGCTCTTATAACGGACCACGAATAAAATTGATTGTAAACATTATCGAGAAAATGGGACATTCGGGACATAAAATTTATTAACCGATTTATAGAGCAATTAATACTAGCAAATATTTTCGCTGGGATAATTAGTGATAACATATATATAGTTTTATCATAACTGAATAACACATAAATAAATAACTGAGTAAAAAGGGAGCTTTGAAAGTTCAACGCGGTTGACGATGTGTAAGTTATATCGATCCTTAATAAATACTACCTATAAGGATACATAATTATAAATTGGACGTTTTCAGTCTGATAATTGAAACTTCGCTACATAACGACTATCTCTTGAATTTTATACATGACACAATTAATAATAGAATAATGGTCTCTTCTTAATGAACTGAAATCAAACTATCTTGGTTCACGATACCGTATGTCCTACTATTTCGGAAAAATTCAAGAGCATTATCAAAGATATCGATGCCAGATTTTATTTTAGTTTCAATAAACTTAAAGGCTTTATCAAGGCCCATAAAGATTTTCTGACAATCATATTCAAAGAAAAATGTTTATAAAATATTCTGCAAGGATTGTAACGCATTCTATGTGAGACGAACGATGATATTATACTTAAAACCATAATTTCAACATTATTACCATATTCGAGAGAACACACACCCATTTCTCCTGTCATCACAGAACACAGAATTAACTGCAAACATGAATTTAATTGCGAGAATGTTAAAATGCTAGACAATGAAAATTTTTTATCAAAACGTTTGATTTCCGAAATGACGCACATTCAACTTCAGAAGAATGGTCTTAATTTACAATCAGACATTGAATATCTACACCATGTATACGTCTCAATTTTAAATAAATTGTAAACCTCGCCCATTATTGTCACTTAATTGTCGTCATTTTTTAGTGTTTTTAATTTTACTCCGGTCATTATTTTAAATTGTTTATTTATTAATTTACTCATGATTTAATCGTTGAATTTGATTTTAGTATTGCCTTTGTAATCAATTTTAAATTCTTCCTACTCTTAACCCTTCACCTACAATACCGTTTAAATTGTATAGTGAGAGTTGGTTGGACAGTCGGACGAGACGGTTGTTATTTGGAATCAGGATTGTCTTTTAAGTGTATCATTGTCTCAATTGTAACGGCGTTCTCTACTTACAATTTGTATTGCTTCTCGATGTTTTTTACCGCAGCTTCAATGCTTATTCTCACGTTCTCTGAGCTGGTGGGTAAGTGACTTCACTTCTCTTTTTGTTCAAGTTATTACTATCATTTTAACTTCGATCATATAATAAACTATGATCATTAGCTAAGTTTTACTTGGATTTCCTCGCTTGGAAAATCACGCTATTTCTAGACTATCAACTTTTGAAGTTACTCACTTATTTCTCGCCGGCAAAACGTGAGATGATTTTGATTTAATTGTTACCGCATGGCTAAAGATAACTCAAAGCGGAGTCGAAACGTTCGATTTATAATTATGTATATCCTAATAGTTATTAAAGACTGATAGATATAATATTAACTTACGCCGTCAAAGAGTTCAACCGTGTTG